TTTTTTTTTTTTTTTGTCAAATCAGGTTTTATATATACTCAAAAGAATTTTGAATTAATATTTTTATTAATAATTAAAAATATGAACTACAGCTCAAATATTTTTTAAGCTAGTAGTAATTAATTCCATCTGATTTATAGCTTTAATATTAATATTGTATTAAGTCAAGCGCTACAAACATTTTAACATTGTTTCCTATATACCTATATAATATATCTGATCTCGCTTCTCAGCAGCACTTGCACTACTTATAAAGGCTTAGTTCTATTGCTAGTTGCCTCGCTGTCTTGCTCCACTTAAGGAAATTAAAAACTTGAATTGGCTCAGCTAATAAAATGAATATATGTATAAAATATTCAAAACAAAGCATTAATGGATTGCAATCCACCTGCCGGTCCCCCTTTTTTGTATCGGCCTTAATTAATTTGCATTCGCACAACGAGTAATTCAACTAAATTAAGCCCCTGCCCGCATGATTTTCTCGGCGTTTGCTGACTGCTGCGCAGAAAAGTGCCGATTGGAATTTATATGGAAAACTCTAATATGAAATATTGGGGAACCAGTTTCGTATACCCGTTACCGATTGCCCACTGCAATTAGCACCAGTGCTCGAATTCGAAATTAAAATATTTGCACGCCCAACGACAGACAGCGACAGCTGACAGATGCCGGAGCCACGAGGGCATTGTTCCATGGCATATGCTCGACTTGACAATTGGCCACTCAAATAATTAAATTATATATAAATATACGATATTGGCTAACTCAAACAGATATATTAGAAAAGCCAATGCCGTATGCAAACTAGCTTAATTACGTGGACATCCGCCAAAGGGTCTATCTATTTACTTATATCTATATATAGTCCATATATCTGTAGACTATATATAACGAACAAATAATACAATTGTATATAAATATACGATTTTAGTTAACCCAACAGACTTCTTAGTTGGTAGCTTACGCAGGGCCTCCAGGGCATATCGTATCTTGTTTATATTTGACAAATATATGGCTCAGGCGAACCCTATGATATAGATAACAATAAAAATCGTGATAAAGTCGTTATTGTTATATGATCTTTTCACACATTTTGATAAGCCACTCAAAGATATAAAAGGAGAAAATAAAACGTATTAAGTTGCTAAGTATTTTCTGATTGCGGTAGAGCCAGACAAGCACTCGGAGTTCCAGGAACTAAAAAAAAAAAAAAAAAAGAGGAATACCAACTGGTAGAGGAATACCCTTAATAATAGAGGAGAATTATATATTTAAAAATGTATATATCTATATCAATCAAATCGTAATTGGGTAATTCAATCACAAGGATACAAAAATAGCTTCAAAATTGATTTACATTGAGTAGAAATACTCGAATGTTTTGGGTGTTAAATTGTTCAATAAATTGGTTGACTTAATTGAATTTTACAGGGAACGCTTTTCAGATCTTTCTTATATAGATGTGTTTGGGTATGAATCTCATATCTATAGATTCTTTTTGGTTTAGGTCTTCAAACTCTTTCAACTCTTATCAACTTATATCAAATGACAAAGTCGAGTCGCTTCAAAGGGGCAAATCGTACTGCCGTCATGGCATCGAAATTCGAGGAGCTGGCATTTGATGAATTCGGCATGTTATTCAATGCCGGCTGTCGTGGAAAGTCAACTGATTTCAGCTGTAACCGCTTTCAATTGATTTCAATTGAGCGCCGGCTGGGTGGGGGCGGGTGGTACAAATGTTTTCATACTATATCGTATGTTAATATTTATCGATAAATAAAATAAATAATTGAACACAATGTGTCACGCACAGCAGAACTGATGGAAATGGTCGCCGTTCGATTTGTCATTCGCAGAGCTCCCGTGGACGTGGTCAGGGCGGAAAATGTGCTAGACTGGGCCGAGCTGCGCGGAAATGATCAATCAGGCATCCACAGTTCAGACGGTCGGCGGTCGGTCGCCTATGCCCAGTCCCCAGCTGTCGCACCGACATATCTCACATGCCAACCCAAAGGATGAAGGTGCTCGGATTCCCGCTGCTCCAGCCGCAGCACCCGGCAGTGACGTCATCACCGATGTGGTTGGCAACTTTGGCATCTGGCAGCTGCGCACCATACTCATCATCTTCCTGTGCAAAATACCCGCCGCCTGGTTCATGGCCTGCATCATCTTCACAGCGCCGGAGCTGTATCCGCGCACGGAGTTCACCTGCGACACCAGCTACCTGAACAGCAGCTCCAGCTCCAATTACAGCATCTCGGATAACCAGTGCTATGTGCTGGACGACAGCTCGGGCAGTCGCAGCGAGTGCGAGCAGTTCACGTACGTCTCCAGCTTCGACTCCCTGATTATGCAATTCAATCTGGTCTGTCTGCGCGACATCTTCATTGCCTGGACCCAGTACTGGCATCTGTTCGGCGTGCTCGTTGGCGGCGTCATGGGCACCAAGATGATGCTGGCCATCAGTCCGCGCAGCACCTACTGTGTGGGCGCCATCGCTCAGATTCTGTGTGGCGTCGTCACTGGCTATGCGAGGGACTTCAGCCTGCACTGCGCCTTCCGCTGCCTCTCGGCCGTCTGCTGTGCCATTATGTTTACCGCTGGACAGGCGATATGTAAGTGAAAAAGTTTCTCTTGTTTCAATGCTGCTTGAATTCCACTTTAGTATCTCGCAAGCAATGCATAGCAAATTTTCTCTTATATGTATCTAAATCTCTCTTGATCTGATTTTCAGTCTGATTAAGCAAATAATTTCCATTTGAATTTCTGTTAGTCTCATGTCTTAGCGGCTTTTAAATTTATCTGATTATTTAATATTAAGGATATGTCCATATTTTCAAAATATCCTCTCAAATTTCCCCTACATTAAAGCACTAAATTTCCCTTTACAAAGTCAGCAATCTCCACTACCTCAACTCGTAACTTCCCATTTTTCTTTCAATTTCCCCATCAATTACCCATTAGGGAAATTTAATGCCTTCTCGATTAAGCCTTTCTCATCCACCTGCAGTTACGGACATTACGGCCGGCATGCACCGCATTGGCGCCATCATACTGTACGACACGTTCTGGTCCATTGGCGTCATCCTGCTGCCCACGCTGTCGTCGTTCTTCAGCAGCTGGTCCCTCATCTATGTGGGCATAACGTTTCCCACGGTTATGCTGATTGTGCTGCTGTACTGGACACCCGATTCGCCGCGCTGGCTGCTGCGGCACGCCATAGATCACCACTCCATCGACAATGTGGAGCAGATGGTGCGCGAGGGCGCAGAGATCAACGATCGCTGCTTCAAGATACCACCCGATTTCCGGCAGCAGCTGGAGCAGCTCAGCGAGAGGCTGAAGACAGCGCCGGCGCCCGCACCCTGGACGCAGCTCTGGCAGGGCAGGCGGGCCAAGACGCACATGGTCGCAGCTCACCTCGCGCTGGCGTTCTTCGTGATCAACTTCATGGGCATGCTGCTGAACATAAGGTCCTTTGGCCGCGACTACCTGGTGCCCAACACCATAGCCATGGGTGAGTCCTTGGGTGATGTTTCGAATGGAGCTGTTGATATTTACTGACGTTTCTTCCTCAGGCTTCTCGGAGATCATTGGCTGCTTCCTGGCGCTGCACTTCACGCTGAAGCACAACAAATGGAAGTGGCAGTGCGCAGGCACCTTCAATATACTCGCTGGCATGCTGGGCTGCATGGGTTGGCTCTTCACAGGTGCCGACTCCAGTGAGTGCTAAAGAACATTCCTTGCCTTGACCGAGTCTAGACTAATTCCTTTTCTCTCTCTCTTTATGCTACAGTGAATGCGGAGCTGAAGGTCTCGCTATGGATGATCATAGCGACGATACCCAAGGCAGCAGTGTCCTGTGCCCAATCCATGCTCCTGGCCTGCATGAACGAGCTGGTGCCGGCGAACAAGAAGCAGCTCTTCGTCTTCTCGGTGATCACCTGGGCGCGCATCTGGCTGCTCTCGGCGCCCTTCTTCAACGTACTCAAGCGCATCGACACCGCCCTGTCGCTGACCTCCTACAGCGTCTTCAGCATTCTGGGCGGCATCTGCACCTGCCTCCTGCTCACGCCGCGCACCAGCACGGCGCCCGTGGTGGCGCAGCTGGAGCAAGAGGAGCAGCAGGACAAGAAGGAGCAGTCGCCCCTGAATGCGCCCGTCTGGACCATCGAGTCGGATGTGCACAATACGCGCCTATAGAGCTCTGCCTGTGAGCTACCCCAACTCCTCTTGTATTCTCTATACTAACTAAGCTAATAAAACTCAATTCTCTGTGATTAGTTACAAGCGAAAGAATTTATTGCTTATCTTACTGATTAGAGTAGTATGTACACCAGCAGCATATAGAAGCACAGGTGCGCAAATATCCACAACCAGTATATTCTACAGGTAGGCAAAGAGAAGAGGAAGATATATCGCAAAGTAGTTTTTCACTTACTCTCAACAGCTTCGAGCTTCACTGAAACTCAATGCCATCGCCAGTTTATGAAACTCACCTGGTCACCTGCATTTTGTTGGCATCGAGTGTAAACTTTTCCCGATGTAAATATTTATTGATGCCGATCACATGACGTCTGACATAGTCATCGTAGTCGAGCGCCTCCAGGTTCCAGCAGAGCTCGCCAAAAGTGCCGTTGTCAATCAGCTGCTTGAAGTAGAATCGACTGCGGTTCTTGAATATCCACTCGTTCAGCGAAAAGAAGCTGCCTGCAGGCGAGAGAATGATCTTAAGGAATGATCTTAAGGGAGCGACTCTTTTAGCTACCCGCCAGGCAGGCCTGCCGAAACTTTTTGGCTATGGGCGTGGCGAAGCGCCGCTTGGAGCCCAGCGCCAGAGTGCGCAGGTCCATCAGCAGCGCGGGCACAAAGTGCAGCAGCCACACGGCCAGCTCGTGCCTCAAGGCGCCGCGACGATACTTGAAGCTGGGAAACATGATCATGCGCCTGGTGGGATAGATGCGGGACCACTTCATGGTCAGTTCACCGAGTCGCTGCCAGGTGATGGGATTCGTAGAGCCTGAGCTGGCATTGCAGACGCTGATGCTGCTGGGGCAAACGTTCAAATTACTCTTTACAGACCTTCAGAGTGGCTGTTCGATCCACCCACCTGCCCAGCTCCGCCTTGTGCACCATCATGATCATTGCATTGACCACAAAGTCCACGGGAATAATGTCGCAAATCAGATCCTTGTCCCCCAATATGCTGCTGATGCCGCCCTTGCCGATCTCCATCATAATGCCGCTGATCGCCTGTATGTTGTCGATCCAGCCCGGATACGGCTCCCGATAGGCGGCCGTCACAATCGAGGGTCGCACTATGACAATGGGTATCCGGTCCCTGTAGGAGTTCACAATCTGCTCCGCAATCGACTTGGTGAACGTATACGTGTTCACGTGCGGGCCCTTTATGTAGTCGGCCAGCCGGTTCAGGTACTCCTCGGGTATCTTTTTGACGGCGCTCAGGAACTGCCGCCAGTCCACAGGCGGCAGTGTGGCATAAATGCACTCGTCCACATACTTTCGACCCGGATTACAGTACGCAGTGGAGACGTACAGAAAACGCTGCAAAATAAAGCACACATAATTATCATACTTTGTATACAGAGTTTTGAATTGTTATAATAAATGCCAATTGTAATGATTAACAATTAAAATAAGCTTAAAGCTTCGAAAGCTCATGCTTACAAAACTTTTCTAGCTCATTTAAGACTTAAGATTAAATTAATGTTTACATAAAAATTACTTATAAAATTTACACAAAAAAAATACAATTAAGAAAACTCCAGTCGGGTTGCTGGACGAGGAAAACCAATCCAATACAATTCAATAGCAATTGTGATTTTTAGAATGCACACATATGAACGTATGCATATGTGTGTGTGTGCGACTGCACATAAAAAACGCCTGCTTGTTTGTTTGTATGTGTGCATACGTATAGGGAAAATGTTTTTCGCCGCTCAGCGTTGCTTTTGCTAATTTGCCAAACTTTTTTTGGGTAATAAATTGTGACTGACAACGGAATTAAATGAAACTGTCAGCTATGCGCAGATTTTTATTGAATATTTGACATTTTATTTTATAAAAAATCTCACTCATTCATAGATTGGATATATTTGCAACTAAGCTTCGATGAGGTTTGGGGTCTGCATGAAGCTTCATAAAACACTCGAAAAAAAAATTGGGATGTAGGAGATATTATCTAAAAATTATTTTGTATAAGTGTTTTAATCTTTAGCATTAAAATAAAAAATATTATTGTTGCAATAAACTTGATCGATGTATGCTACATAGACGAGCGGACAGACAGATAGACAGACGGATGGGGCTAAATCAACACAGCCACGCCTTCATCTGCCTACACCGCATTTTCCATTGGCAATACCTTCAGGGTATGAAAAGCAACTTTAAGCAGCAGAAGCATATTAAAGCCCTAAGGACTCATGCTTGGGTTGATATCAATCCATTCTCACTTAAAGTAAATGACTCTAACTCAATCCACTACGTCCTAAAGCTTCTCTCTCACCTGCAATTGGCGCATTTGAGTGCACATCTCCAGCAGATTGTAGGTGGCCAGCGAATTGACGCGAGCTGCCACATTGAGACTCTCATTGAAGCGCACCTGTAAGTGGAGGTGATCTATATGGCTATATATGACGAGACCATATCAAACTGGAACTTACTGTCGCGGCGCTGTGGAATATAATATTAACCACTGCGCAAAGCTCGTCTCTGTCCCGTTTGTGCAAACCTGTTGAGATTCAAAAGAAAATCGAAAAGAAAAGCTTTATGGGCAATTTTCCGTTCAGTATTTTCACTCTCGAAGCTCGCGACTTACCAAAATAATCATCCTCGATGTTACCCGCAAAATACGAGATTTTCTTTAGACGCTCTGGAAACGAGCTGCGCAAGCGCTGAAAGATGTCGTTCTGTAGGAAGTTCTGGAAACGCTGCTCGGGCGAGACGCCAGCCTTAGGGCGGATGAGCATGTAGATGCGCTTGATCTGGGGAAAACTCCAGAGCAGCTTCTCCAGCAGAGCTTTGCCCACGAAGCCAGTGGCGCCTATCGAATGGAGGTGCATTAGGCAAATAGAAATCATTGAAGAATGAAAACTTGCCCGTTATGAAGACGACGGCATCTTTGTAGATATCCAACTGGGCTTCCATCTCAATGTGGCCACTGTGCTGGCTCAAATGCAACTGATTGCAGTTGCACTTGCCGCTGCTCTCTCCGGTTGCAACTGCAGCAGCTCAGCTTCGCTAATTGTTGCTGCTACAATGAAAGTAAAAAGCTTCCAGCAACTGGCTGTGCTACCTAAACACGTTTTTTGCAAACTCTTAACCGAAGTTTAAACTTGAATTGGCTTCAGCTCTGCGACGTAAACAACACTCGCGTAATTTTGTTTGCCGGAGCTTACATAAGTTTTGTTTTGAATTGTCCAAAACGTCAAATCTTGATCATTGCTCTCAGCATTCCTCAACCAAAGAATATTTTAATAGCAAAAATTATTATTTATATAT